GCATAGACATTGTCATATTTATCATAAGAAGATATTGAATATTCGTTATATCATATACTGTTTAACTACCAGCCGGAGCAATCGAAAGATTGATCACAATAGGGGACGGATGTTGACTATTAGTCTATCTAAAAAGAGAAAAATAATCTTGTGAAAGTAACTTCAAAGATATTAATCCAATGATGCATGCGATGTGTGAAAGTGGAAAAAAACTCTAATGAAAAAAGAAATATATATATATATATAAATGGTTAGTGAACGGAAATCAAGGAAAAAGGAACAGACTCTAGACATAAATTAAGATTTCGCATTAATACTTATTAAGGTTGAATTGCTTCTCGTGGGTGTTATTTTTTTCCTTTGCATTTTTCAAAAATTTTTCTAGTAGTTAATTTCTAAAACAAAAAGCATGACAAAGAACACTTGAAAAATAAAATAGATCATAAATAGTAATTTTAATAATTGAAATTTTAAATATAATGATATTTCATAGACAAATAAAACAAAAGAAAAGAAATGATGATGAAAAATTATAATAAAATAATACTCAATTTTTTTTTTTTTCTTCTCAAGATATCATCAGAGTCTACTCGGTAGTACAATAATATTTTGCTTAATTGTCATTCAAATTATTAAGAGTCATCTAGTAAAGATTTATTTATTGATATAAAATTAGGCAATTACTTTTTCTATTTTAAAATTAATCATGTTTTTTTTTTTTTTTCGTCATTTGTATTGACATCATCAATTCTTAATGTTTGCTATTATCATATTGAAAATCTATCTCTTATAGGTCATTAGTAATATTATAATAGATTTTTAAACGAAAAGAAAAATATCATTTACCTTTTTATTTTTATTTTCTATAACTTATTGAATTTCTTTTCATAGATAGATGAATATTTCAATGTAAATTATTAATAAATATGTCTATGTTTGATGCTGTTCTATCTCTACTATAAATCAGTTATAGTAAAATTAGTCAATATAGGCATAATTTAATCAATAGTAAATTTGTACTCTTCAAAGGAAATTGTGATAAAACAAGTAGATCAACATTGTTTTTTATGAAAGATAAATAATGTTGTCAATAGTCTCGTACGAAAAGTAAATCATAAGTACTCCAAATCTTTAAAAGCATCTATAAAATTCAAATAATAATGAAAAATACTCAAGAATAATAATAGAAACATAGTAAGATTCTTCAATTAAAGAATGATAACACATTTAATAAATATGAATAATTAAGTACTGTAAAAATTTATGAATATGTTATGATTAAAAACAAGAATAGAGAAATAAACTAAAGAAAAAAACTACTTGTTTATGCTTGTCTGAAAGAAAGACGGGAAGCATAGTTGATTATAAAAATGATAATACAAAATTTACATTAACGATTTCATTAATTCATCATGTTATTACATATTTTCAACAACATGACATATAAACTTAACTGAATAATAATTAGTCTAAAAATATTTATAACTATCATATGTAAAAAAAAAAAAACAGAAAAAGACTCAATAAAATGTTGTTTTTACAAAAGAAAAAAACTTACCTGTGATATTCATCTCTTTATTTAAGTTTTCTATTTTGTAAAATCATTATGTGAAAATTCATTATTATTTTTTTTTTTTTTATTTAAAGAATATATAGTTAAATTTATCATTTGTATTTAATATTTTTGAGTTTCTATTAATAAATAGAAGAGAATGTCATGTAAATCAAAACTTATTTAGTTAAGAGCAAATGCTTATAATCATCAGTATGTATATGTGCATGTCTATATGTATATGAAGGGGGGTGAATATTTGTATACTACTCAAGTTTGCTGGTAAATAATGATGATTGAAAAAAATGAGAAAATCTATACTAAAAAGAAAGAATGATGTATCAACAGCGATTGACGTCAGACAACGTCTACATTCATTCTGTTATCTAAAGCATTGCTACACTCGACTATCTCTCTTTTCCCACATCGTTTCTTTTATTTCCTGTTTGTTTAAACAATGCTCCGAAAAAAAAAGCAACATTGTCGGTGATCAAGTCTATTCTTTATTATTATGCATTATCACGCTAGCATAGTCTAAGGAATAAGACAATGTGATATAGTTTTCCGAGAATGTACTAAATAACGAAAAACAAAAAACAACATACTATTATATTACTATGAAAAAAAAAGTACACTTATAAATATATATCAATAATAACATATATTGTGCTTGTCGTGTTGCTAATAACAAAAAAAAAGTTGCAAACACGACATCAATATATCTGCTTATATGATTATGTCGAATCATTAGACACGTATATCTATCCTATATTTAATTGTATGAAACGTGACTTTATTCAGATATTTATATACATATATCTAGTATGCTTCTTATAACAAAGATCGCACTTATCTTTTCAAGAAAATTGTATCAACTTATAAAGAAATAAAAAAATTTAAATAAAATTTTGATATTTCAATGCAAAAAAAAATATGATCAAAAGATTTTATATAATTTATTTATTTTTATATAATTTATCTAACAATTAAGCATATTTTAAATAGATGCATGTTAATTTTCAATGAAATTATTCATTATAAAAATAATTTATTTTTGTTATCTATTATTACACATGACTATCTCTCTTTGATCATATAGAAAACATTTTTATCTCATAGTCTCCAATAAAAAAATCTATTTTTATCGAAATTTTGTATTAGATATTTTTTTTAGGTCCTACAATACTCATCATTGACGTGACTTCTTGATAAAAGAAGAATCACAAAGATACTATTAAAAGAAAGAAATTCTTTAAAAACAAAAAAACAAACTTATCTCGAATATTTTTTTTCTATTAATCATTGACAATGAAATATATTGCGTGCATGATTTTATAAATAAAAACTCGAATATGATATAAATAAATAAAAATGTACCTTCTATGTTCTACATTTTTTTTTCTTCAATGGATTATGTCAATTACGCATGTATTTGTCTAATTGATGTTAACCTGTTACGATTGTTTATATTTTACGGATCAAAGAATTAATAAAAATGAGATGAGAATATATATTTTTTTTTTGACAATTTATGAATTTTTTTTATACTCATATTTTTGATGCAGTTTGAAAAAAAATAAAACTTGTTGACCTATTTCATAATAATTATTCCATAAAAAAAAATCATCATTTAAATAATTGTCTATAAGTGATAGTATATTTCAAATTATTATCACAAAATACTATTCAATAGAATTAATATATACTGCAAAAAAAAATCAAAGAAAAACAAGAAACATATTGAAATTGACTTTACCAGTTGTTTCATATTATTTGAAATGATTTTTAATAGTCTTTATTATGAGTATATTCTTTGCTTATCATTATACTACCAGCTGATGGTAAAAATAATAAAAGACTATCGATTATAAGACTATTTGTGTTGCACTCATTATATATCATTTGACTACTATTGATGAAAATCTCATAGAGACAAATAATAGTATCATTACAATGATTCTAACGAAATATAGTTCATAAGAATAATATTAATTGTATAATGTTAGAAAAAAAGAAAAGAAAGAATTTTATTTTTTCATAAATAATTAATTAAATATGATATGATTAAGATTTGTCATTCATTCGAGTAGAGAAGACAACTTACTATATAAAAATCTGAACGTCTGTATACTATCATACATAATATTTTCTATATCTTCTCTCAAGTTTGTCTTAAAAAGATGATGATGAATTTTGAATAACATTCATCTATAAAAATGATTGATGATGAATCTCAATCATACTTTGTTCTACGAAGAAATATCTTAGCTATTCATTATTCATCTATGAAAATAAAATACCATATAATGCATTGTCTAAGTGTTCAAATCTCTGCTATGGATGAATTAAAGTCAGACAAGAAGATAATTAAATAAAGTCTCGACGTCTATATAACATTCACAATATCAAATTATTACTTTATGATTGAAAATGCCATCAATTTTTGATAAGGAAATTTTAGATGTGCATTTATAACATGTTGACGATTACAGCAAGCTGTTTTTTTTTGTTTTCAATTTAAAACATTGAGTAGAAGAAAAAGACTTTTGCCGTGAAGCAATAAGTTGATTGCTACACTACGTACATTCAACTATAATGTTTGAATACAAAAAATTCTACTATTTAAAATTCTCTTTAGTCAAATCAACTGAATTATTATGAAAGTTAATCTAATTCTTATTTTTGTCTATTATAAAGAAAAACATTTACTTTATTCTAATCAATTAAATTTAATTGCAATCTAAAAAAAAAAGTCGAACAGAACCTAATGTGTTTCTATTTTTGAATTACTCAATTATTCTTTTTATATGACAGACAATGTTTTAACCGGTCGATTTGATGACATAAAATGTTCAAGTACTTTTAAGGTTTTGTTTTTTTTTCTTTTTTACAAAATCGATTTGTATTTAATTATTTGTTCGTTTTTTGAGCTAATATTACTTATATTACATGAAAAATGATAATCGAGATAAATACATACTCAATATAATTAATTATAGAAAAAAAAATGGACAGATTTAATCTCAAAACTTTTTTTGTTTTTGAATTGAAAGGTTAAATGTAGGACATAAGATAAAGGAATATTGCAATGTATGTTGTTTATGTAATATAACTCTATCTATAAAATATCATAATAAAGTATTGAATCTATCGAATTCAAAATAAATAAATTTTATTTTATATAAAACTATTTGAATATTAATATTTTAATGATGTCGTTTATTTTTATTTAATAAATAATTAACTATTTAATAAAAATAGACAAAGAACAAAAGAATGAATCATTATTCGTATTATTTATTGGATAAAAAAAATTTGAAATGACAAAAAAAAAGAAAATTCTAAGTTAGTAGAATGGCTCGAAATGATCAAGATATTAAAAAAGAAATTCGAAGAATTGAAGGACAACTTCTTGTTGCAAAAGAAATTTGTCGAGAAAATGTATTGTTTAATTTTAGCTTTTCTTTTTTTTTTTTTTTGTGTTAAAATCTATTTAAAATAATTTTTGTATTTATTAATAGTTAAAAGAAATAAATCATTTAAAACAAGAACAAGAAAATAATTATATTCTTCAAGAAATAAATCGTCTTTTAGCAATTAAAACACTTAATTCAAATGAACATGTTAATCAATTTAATCAATTAGTAAGTTAAAAGATAAATTTCATTATCTAATAATATAATTATACTTTAATTTAGCTTTATTTAGTTTATCAACAACAAACAATTACATTAGATAATACAATACAATTAAATGAACAAGAAAAAGATGTATGACTTTTTTTCTTGTAATTACAATTTTAAACAAAAATTCTTTCGCTCAAAACATCATTCTTAAAGTATTCAATTCTTGATAAAACTTTTTAGTGATCAAATCAGTTTATTAACAAAAATTTTAGTATAAAAACCTTTACCTTCTATAGAAGTTTCACTCATAAAATGATCTTATAAATAGAATATTAGCATTGATAATATACTAATAGTGTAATTAGATTCATTAGATATCCTACTCTTTATATATATGATGGTTCTAATGATTTCAACGAACGATCGAGTAGAAAAATATGAATCGAACGACATGGGAAATGATGATTTGTTTTGTTTTTCATAACAGTATTGAATAAACACAAAAGCAATTTATATTAGAATAATAGGAAAAGGAAGGAGTAAATAAACAAAAACAAATTTTAAAACAATACATAAATTTTTTATACGTATTATCAAACAATCAATGTTTTTTCCTTTCAAGCAGTGTATAACTACTAAAGAATTTTATTTATATATTTCACATAATGAGATTTACACAAGGGAGAAAAAAACCGAAAATGCTGTACTTCAGCATACCTTCAAATTATGTCATAACTGTGCATTAGATCTATTTAACTATTTCAAGTCTCTTATCAACATGTGTTATGGTATATTAGCTGAAGTCCAGCTTACGTAAGTCACCCAAATACTTCATTATACTTCCTAAGTAGGAGTACGGTGTGAAGTATTTAGGCTTTATTGTCAGATAGACTTACACAGGCTGAACTCCGGCTAATATACCGTAACATAGGTCGATAGAAGACTTGAAATAGCTAAACAGATCTGATGCACAGTTATGACATAGTCTGAAAGTATGGCATTTTCGCTTGTACTCCCTTGGATTTACTTTAGATAGATTATTGTTATTC